GGGGGGTCGTACCTGTGGGGGAACAGCAGCGAGCACATCAGTTGCATCGTGGTGCAGATAGGGGAGAGGGTGCAGCGCAGCAGAAAACGAAGATATGTGAGAAAACATGGTGTAATATTCTTTCAGGTTCAGTCGTGTGATACCACTACCACGAGAACGTATTCGATAGCAATGCAAAGTCAATGGAAGGTTTATTGTTTGTCTTCATCGGGATCATGGAATATGCCCGAAGAAAAAATCATTGCTCTTGACATTTCTTGGTCTTTTTTTGACTGATGTTGCGCGTCGGCGGCTTCACTTTCACTTGATCCTTGTACCGACATTGAATGTGTGGCATAAAGATCCACGAGCTTGTGTTTATCATCTAAAATTACTAAGCGTCCATCTAAAATTACTAACTTAGGCTAGATGGAAAAGCAGATAAATTGCAGAGCAGAGGTACCTCGCCATAAGGAGTCCTTTATTTCCTTCATGAGACTACCCTGCCTCTCAGTTGAGGAAGGCAAGTGAGGCTTCAGCTTTAAGCCGGGACGCGGGTTCGTCCATTGATGTACTAAGTTTCTGGGTTTAACAGTGAGAACACTCGGTCCATTTCGATGTATCCTAAAATGATTAACCCACAAACTATTCTAGGAAAGAGCTGAAAGATGACAAAGGGTAAAAAGTCCAAGAACTCACACCATGAGATCGTCCAAGGTCTCGGTTTTCAGGTTGCTGCGTTCGCCTCTGGAGAGCCTGTTGGCGGTAGAAAAACTACGCTCCGGATCTGCGTTGCTCGCAGGAATAACGAGAAAGCATTTTATAGCCTAAAAATTATTTAGGAAGTGAAGTTTCCCAACAGGGATTTATGTGAAGAGTCTCACCTGTTGAACGACATGAGGAATTTTCAACGCTTCACCGTTGTCAAGAAGTGTTTTGTAGAGTCGAATACTGTTTTTGTCACTGCGGAGATCGGTTGGCCAGGTGTTCGATGTGCGCGCCGTTCTTGCAATTGAGTTGTAGAAGTCAAAGAATGGGCCACGGGCTTCAGGCAGGGAGCAGTTTTCCTGAATGTCGGTGATGGACATCAGAATGAGTCTATCACGCTTGCCTTTATCCACATTTCCCTCCTCGTTCACATATTGCGTGTTGTTGAACATTCATTACATGTTGTTCAACAACATGCACAACACATACACACAGAAGTGTATGTGTTGTGCGTGTTCTTGAACATTCATTACATGTTGTTCAACAACATGCACAACACAACACTTCGTGGGTATGCGTCGTGAATGTTGTTGAACACACATTACTAGTTGTTTAACAACATAGTATGTTGTTGAACAACAAGTAATGTATGCTCAACAACATTCACAACACATACTTTTCGTGTGTTGTTGCATTGTATGCGCTGTGCATGTTGTTGAACATATGTTACTTGTTGTTCAACAACATAGTATGTTGTTGAACAACAAGTAATATATGTTCAACAACATGTACAACACATCCACTTCATTTTAGCAGTAAGAAGTATGCACAATGAAGTAGATGTGTTGTGGATGTGCTCTATATGTTGCTTAACATTCACTACTTTCGTTTTAGAACATAATTTCACATCACTCATGTTAAGCAACATATATGTATAACGCATCCACACACATCCATCCGCTTCATTGTGCATACTTTTTAGTGTGTAAATGAAGTGGATGTTCGTATGAAATCATGCATTTCAGGAGAACGTTGGTAGCAACGAAATGTTTGCGCTGTTCCGTACATTCGAAAAGGTGAGCATATTTCTTTCACGGTCAGTTTGTTGTGTGTTTTAATGTCAGTTTTCAGATGGCCGTTTATCTCGTTCTCGGAATCTGCTTCACTATCAGCGCGATGTCCACGGGTCTGCCAAACGAGTAAGTAAAACCAAAAATGTATTGCAATCTTTAATCACGCATTTGATACCACTCATTTTCAGCGATCCAATGGATTTACCCGCCTCGTGGAAGGCGTGTCGGTGTCCTCGTCCTGTCGAAGTCGCTGCAACCAACCACATCGACGACGGTTTCTAACAAATTTTTAATCGACGCTGTGCAAGACCTCTTTATGCTTATCTTGTTTCTATTGCTGGTGAGTGGCATGGCGTACATTTTTTTTCTTTCTTTTCTTTCTTCTTCTTTCTTTCTTTCTTTCTTTTTCTTTCTTTCTTTCTTTCTTTCTTTCTTTCTTTCTTTCTTTCTTTCTTTCTTTCTTTCTTTCTATTACATGCATTGCTTTCAGGCCTGGGTACAAAAAAAATATAAATGTCGGGTAATGCGGCGGGAGGGAAGGCTGGAGAATGTGATGGTCCCGGAAGAAACCGTCTAGGAGCGGCGAGAGGGAGAGGGAGGAGGGTGCTGACTTAGTAGGGGTGGAGTAATCGCCGCCGCGGCTCATGGGGAGGGGGGGAGTGGGGTGAATCTTTCAACATGAGTGAAACATGTCGGGTGATTTATTTCATTTTGAAGAGGGGGGGTCAAGCATGGGGAGCGGCGGCGACTGTCTCTTCACCCCAGCCAGGTCAGCACCGTTGTTATTTGTTTCTTTTTTTCGTTTTGTCATGTAAGATTTTTTTTTCTCCTCGTAAGGGGAGAAAAATGTGGAATTAAGAAGATCTGTTATCTTGTCCATGTTTTTTTTTCTTTTTTATTTGAATAAATCTGAGGAAGATTGTGTTTTGTTCAATGAATTCAAAAAAGAACACTTTTATCAACCTTAAATCAACATTAGGGGGTCGTGCCAAGACCTCGATTTTAGGGGGGGGGTCGTACCTCTGCGACCACGTCCTCGACACGATTTTCACCCTGCTGCCCCAGTGACCTGTGGAACGACTTGCTTATCAACTTATCCAGCGTAACTCGCTTAGACTTCTGATACTTCGCTGACAGAGTAAGAATTACCAAGTTTCTAGTTGTGCACAATTCCGCCATAAAGCGGGCCCTCCGATCTCAATAAGTGCCAAAAAGTCGCCATCAAATTGGCGCTCCTGCCTCAATATTTCCTAAAACTGTGGTAGTGTCTTTGACTACCAAGTGAGACACATGTGTCCCACCAGTAATCAAAGGGTTAAACCTTGGTAACTCTCACTGTTACAAAGTGAAAAGCCAGCCGCCAACTAAATCCACACTCCTTCATATAAAAGTCATATCTTCCTTTAAAGTGGATCTGTGGGAAATGAAGAAGAGATTCTAAAAAAGTTAAAGCGATATTGAGAAGTGTTAGGGAGTCATTTCTTTCTGAAACATTGTTGAAACTGTGTTAAAACTGTTGTCAAAACCGGTGTTTAATCACTCAAAAAATCGCCTGCTGCACGTTTTGTGCGCATGCAAGTTTGCTGGTAATTACTCTACCAGAATCAACTTCTTTCCACTCTCTGTCGCTACAAAAAAACTACGAGATCAAAAGTTTCGAAAAATTCCTAAAATTTTCTGAATAATAATTTTTCTGAACTTTCGGAAATTAGTCTTGCTGGGTTTTTTATTCTATGATTTTTGTGATAATTTTTTTTTCGAGTTTTCAATCTCTGAGCGTCCATGTTTCTTCAGTATCGTTTTTACAAAACGCGTTAGGTTCCCATTGTAATATGAAAGGGGTACTTCCTGCTTCACGAAATTTGACACATGAAAATTTCTTGAGAAGCTTTTCTTTCGCCAGACTTTCTAATATGGGATTCTCTATATGAATAGGTCCCGCCGAACTCATTGCACTTTCCTCCACCTCAATGAAATATGAACGACCCTTCTGGAATGCGCCAGGAACTCGTTCAGGGTCTGTAGTCGCTATACGTTTGAATCCGCTGTAGCGATTTCAAAATCGCAGTTGTTCTAGTGGAAACATATGTCTCGCCATCGAAGATTTGTATTCAGTTTCCTATTAATGATTTTTTACCTACACGTGCATGTCAGTAAAAAGAAACCAAAAATCAAACAACGCTGACATTTTCGTATGGCTTGTAAAACTTCTACTGAGCCAAAGCATATTCGACCATTCTACGAACACGTCGTTTATAACAATGCTAATATATGTTCTATAAAATGAACACGAAAAACTTAGGAAGAAGTTGGGCATGCGCTGAAGAACTGAATGATCGTGGCACACATAGTTGCCACACAACGTCGGACGTGGCCTGCAAAAGTGACATACTGGTTCATATCTGACCGTCCCCGAAATCACCCGGTTTATGGACTCGATGCGGATCACTGTCTTGATAGAAGTCGCGCGGGTAAGCAGCTTCCAACATACTTCGCTGGGGGTGTGCGACATATGGTGCGATCACATTGGCATTCATCCTGCTGCGGCCGGACAGCTCGTCCGTGCAGCAAATTCTAACCGCGTTCTTGTTTCTTACCTTGCATCAAGGCCCAGCGAAGTATGCGGCTCTCTTTTTTAGATGCTGTGGACTTAGCGAGATTCCCTTGAGACCAAATTATCCGATCATCAATTAAGTCCAGTAGTTGATACGGAGCAAGTGTCCGCCGGCAGGGGATTGGGCAGCGCGTCCGCTCTAAACCAGGGTCAACCGTTACGTTGGACCGATATTGGAGCGACGTTGGACCGATGTTCACCGCTCTCCGCGCCGGCATTCACTCTCGCCACCCGCGAGCCGTCTGTGTCTCCGTGCGTACGTTCACTCTCGGCATTACTCTCGTCGTCGCGTTGACTTGGCTTTGTATAATGGGACTCGTCGCAGCATGACCGTACTCCTCCCACCATCCGGGGCCATTGGGGGGAACAACAAGCAGGAAATCGAGAAGCAACTTATATACGCAACTTCTGTCAAGTGCTGCAGCCGCCACATCATTTCCGGTGACACGCGTGATCAGACTTCGACATACATATTGAGTGTAACCTCCCCTTCAAAAAGCGAGAAAGTGTCAGAACAAACACCACAACTGACGACGGCCTCCAAGTAAATCTGGTTAGAAGTTGTTCATAGTGATAGCTGATTTCTGGTAAATGATAGTTGTAATTAGTGACAATCGATAGAATACAACTGCAACAGGCTAATCATTTCATTGGCAGAAAACATTAACATTTTGTGAAGGCCGTCGTCACTTGTGGTGCATGGTCTGCACCCGACACTTTCTCGCTTTTTGAAGGGAGGGTACGTACAGTCGATATCTCGAAGTCTGATTGGGCGTGTCACCGGAAATGACGTGGCAGCCACCGCACTTGATAGATGTTGTGTGGATAAATACTCCGCCAGATATCAGCAAAGCGTGTTGGAAGCAGCTTATCCGCGCAACTTCTATCAAGTGCGGTGGCTGCCACGTCATTTCCGGTGACACGCCCAATCAGACTTCGAGATTTCGACTGTACTTGTGCTTCCGTAAATAAGATGCGTGGTGAGTGCAGACCACACACCATCAGTGATGATGGCCTCCACAAAATATAAGTGTTCAATTATTGACTAGCCGTTGCAGTTGGATACTATCAGTTGTCACTAATTACAATTATCATTTACCGATTATCAACTAACCACTAGTAACCAAATTTTCTACCTCTCTTTTTCCCACCTTTTCTCCCTCCCCCATAGACACCTCCTGTCGAGAATCTAATGGAGCTTCTTTTAAATTAGTTAGAGGCTCATTAAGAATGTGGCTTGCCTATATTTGAGGGAATGGGTCCAGTAAGGAGGGTGCGCAAAGTTCATAGCCTTAAGTTATACTAGGGCAAGTTCACAAGGGAAGAAACCCCTAGGTGGTGGTGACAAAGCAGAAGCGAAACGATTTGAGCGCCACGGATCTTCTACGTGTGGGCTCCAGCAAATGCCGCACTACACACTACCTTTCTTCTTCCTTTTCTTGTGTCCTGGCCAGGGTCCTTGTTGATTACATTTCCGTATACCTTAGATATCTGTCACTTCAACCACGCAATCGTTTGGTTCGAGGATCGCAATGCTAGCATGCGGATTAATAACGACCGGGCCCTGTTTCGAGCCCAGACACGACGGTAATTGCAAAGTGCAAACCTACTCTAACGATATGCTCGGCATTCTGATTCCTGATTGACCTGATTCTTGAATGGTACTTTTAGTAGGAAATCAAATACTCCCACCTATGGCCTACCATTTTGACGGCCTAAGGTACTCACTTTTGCTGAATATCCACAATACCAGTTTACCCATTGTCTCATCATCACTCAAATGCATGGATCGTAAGCCATTCAGTTTTTAATATTTATTAATTATATCAATAATTTAGATAATTAATACAAGAGGGTGCACAAGTTACTATGGGTCTCATCGGTGACAAACGAGTCGAATATACAATTAAATTAAAAGTCGTCGATATATGTTCAATCACAATAGAGGTATATGATTCTCAGTCGACGTACGAAATTACATAAATAAAAGATATAAAATTAACAATAAAGTTACCTATATACATCACTTTATCTCCTCTATAAGAACTGCTGCATGTGGTACGGCATGTGGAAGTTTTGCGTTTGAGGGGGTACCTGAACAGATTGTTTAGAAATTTATAGCACAAGGAAAAAGTAAGCAACCCACTCCTTGGAGCATGGCGTGTTGCGTGTCAACAATCTTTGCCAGCACTCTCCATGCAGACTTCAAAGCGTTATGGCCGAATCCGTGGGTGAGCTGAAAAGATCATCTTCCTTCTAGGGTAAGACTCACGTCAGGATTATGTGGATGAGTTTGATCATTTCCAGTGGTCCTTCTAACTCTTACCATACTAAAGATGTTAATCGAATGTGTAGCCGAATTCTTCTCCACGTAATCCTCTGGGTCTTCTGGTACTTCGTCGAATATTGCCATTATTCCAGCCAAGTAACGCCTGAAATGATTTCTTCAGTACATCTTCATTAGGGCAAAAACATTCTACTCATACCTGACTATTGCCAGCTCCTGTGGCGTGTACTGGAGTCGGTTGGAGTGCCGTGCAATCTCGAAGGTGTTCAGACTGTTGTGGCAGAGATTATTGAAATCGCGAGCCATCACAAGAGCTTCTCCTGAAAAGAAGGCGATTCAGCTTTTCAAGTAAAACTTTCTCATATGCCAATTGTCAACTCACTTTCACAAAGTGCTGTGAACGACGTCGTTGGTGCGGTCTTTCTTCGTCCTGAGGGAAGTGATACTCCTTTCTCTGCCAGTCTATCACGTAACATTTTGCAACCGTCCTTCGTTTTCGCCCTGAAACAAACAAAATTAAACGTTTTAACAAGATTAATGTTTAAATTATACTCAAATCAGCTACAGTAACCCACTTTCTGAGAACACCGTTGATGAGACTGGCGTGTAGAGTTTCCGGATGGCTCATGCGACGGTGAATTTCGCTCAGTGTCACCTAAAAAATAGCTGATTAATCTGTTAAGAACTATATATGAGAAACGCCTGTTACCTGAATCCGACTGAAATCACCTACTCCGACAAATATGCCCATTTAGCAAACATTTTTTTCTATATTCTTGGCTAAGTTCCAAACTATACCTTATACTTTGTGGACGCATTCAAAAGACATAACCGTCCTGGTGCTTCATCGAATACTTCCAGAGGATTTACATTGGACGTAGTCGGTTTTGCTTCTGTAACAATCAAATTAAGAACCTTTTCCGAATAATATCACCAAAAACTGACTCACCTGGCCGTGGAGGTATTATTTGCTTGTTGCTTTCGAAAATCGAATCATTTCTCGATTCGTCCTGAAAGTTATCGATTATTTTATGGACAAATACTGATTCCAATTACACGAAATTGCTTACTGAAAGTATTCCACTATCAGAGGACATCGAATTCTGTTCCATGTATGACAACGCAGACTGGTGTTGAAAGAAATTTGGATAGAACTGCATCTGAAATATATTTTTGAGGAAGGATGTAAGCATGAACAGCTGATCTTAAGTTTTATGATGTCAACATTGAGACAGATAACTATTTATCGAGTCCCACCTGTGAGGCCATGTTGGGATTGAAGAACTCTCGTTGACCCGCCATTAGCGGTGTGCTCTGGTACATCGGCGGAACCTGAGAAAAAATGTTTTTATTAGTAAATGGCCCTAATAAAATGATGGTATGGTTCAGTAAACCCACCATTGCCAACTCTGGAGAGCAGTTCTCTTTATTTCTGTTATCCATCCGCTTCGCAGGGTCTACATTAGGATTCATGTCATCATTTGGTCTCTTCCTAGACCGCATCTAGAACATTACTTGAATTATTTTGGATATTTTTAGAAAGTCAATCGATTGTGCCTCTAAGTATGATACCATCATATCACTCTTTTTGTCACACGGTGATTGGCCAATAACAAATAAAACTAATTTTGGAAATCTAAACTATGCATCAAAGCTAGACATGGAAGGCACTATCCGAAAAAATGTATGAATAAAAGTATTACCTGATTTGCTAGCAGCTGCTCTGCATGTAACTCCTGACCGAACTGCAGTTGTTGCTCAGCAAACATCTACAACGCAAATCAGTTGCATGATATTTATCCAAAAAGCTGCAGGAGAAAACAAAAAAGGGAGATGATGATGATCAAAAATAAGGAACTCTGGATCACGACTCAAAACAGATCTCGTTCAAACAGCGGATATGATAGGAATGAACTTTCCGAGCACCTACTTATACGAGGTCATCCTCCATATCTTGACTCCACCCTCGTTTAATTGGCGCCATTACTGGCACATCCTCGCCCATGGTCCTAGGGCAGGTCTTCCAGTGCGAAGTTGTCCTTCGGGTATGATGTGACCGCTTGCCGCCGAATCAGAAACGCGTGTGTCAGGATATTCCCTTGGCAATTAGACATAGGTCAATATTGGAGGTCACCAGTATAATTGACATCTAAATATGTCTGAAGTACATCAAATGAAGATTCGCCGTACAAAGGAGCAACACTTACAAAAGAGAAACCTTTATAAACAATTGAACGGTTTAAATCTCGGAATAATTCAACGGTTGAAATCAGTTTGAACCTTTTTCATTTCATGTTTGACTGTGTATTCATTGAAACTGACTGATAAACTGAACTAATGTCGCATATGCTACGATGAGATAAAATGAATCAAGGTTTCGGCAAGGAAAACCGAACCCCTCTGTTCGATGAAATGTTTCCTAGCCAAAAAGTTTTGCTTTTAACTCAGATTAACTATTCAGTTTGAACCACGAAAATCTAAATCTAAGCCCTTGGAAACTATTAAGGAATAAAATATGAGCAGAAAGAAAGAGATTCAAAACGAGATTTCAACCGTTTGAAATTTGCAGCTGTGCACCTGACAAAATGCTAGAGAAAGTGTTTTTGTTTTGACTCCCTCATCACCAAAAGCAAAAACCTCGAGCTTAATCGTATAATAGCAAACGTTTGTTTCTGCTGTAGTATTGAAGACTGAAATCGGCGCTCATCCGGTAAGGGGGGGGGCATTGTGATGCAATGTCAAATCCCCTCCACCCCCCTGGAACTGCCTTCACTCCCCCTGGCTCACGGGGTCCTGTACTTCGAGAAACCTGTGCGCCAGGGGGAGTGTAGGCAGTCTAGGGGGGTGTGGGGGGTGAGGGCAGCCACTTGATGCCCCCCTTACTGGATGAGCGCCCTGAAATCTAAACATTAAATTCTTGATGAAGATAAACCCCACTTGTGATCAAAGTCCTCTGTGAAAAATAATATGTGGTATGAGTCTATTTAGTAACCTTAATCTTTAGTATATACCAAAGCTGCTTATTGTTACCAAGCACCTACTGACCACTGAATCAGCCCTAGCTTTATCCTTGTAAAATTAAGAATGTTGCGGAAATAGAGCAGCTTTTGAACTTTTTTCTCCCTCCGAATCCAACATTTGATTTCATGGGAACAACTATGCGTAGGCTTAGGTAGACATAGATCAGCTTTTGGATCTATTTAGATTTCAACAACTGCCGAAAATGAGAAGCCCATGGTGCAGTGAGCCGCCTGAGTCACACTGACTTGCTAGTTTTATCTTCCTCAACGACTCTGATACCAATCAATCGACCCCTGGAGGCTTGGTAATGCCAGGAGGAACGACCTACTAACAACCGCTGGCACGTTATACCACACTAGGCACGTTTTCATCTTATATTGAACATTTCTGCGTTGAAAGTCCCATTATTTCAATATCCGCCATCTTCTTATCTTTCTTTGGCAGTGTAGAATTCGGCCTATCACTGTCATTTCCGCAGTTCTATCTGATAGCCCACCTTTTCAAGGGCCGCAACAGGGCATTTCTCCGACCCTGTGGTGCCTGCTATTAGCACTGATCTGCCCCACAGAACTGCCGCCTCTATAGGTGTGAAGTGCGATAGCAACCAAACACCTCGGGATTATGTCAATCATTCGGATAACATGATTCTTGTTCTCAGCGTCTTTCAACACACACCTCATCTACTGAGCGGTAACTTTGAAAACTGCAGTTAAATAAAATCTGCCGTCTTCGGA